TTAGGAAAGACATCTAATTGATCATCTCAATGTCGATATATATATATATATATATATATATATATAAACAAGAGGTTTCAAGTCTAAAAAATAGTACATTTTGCAATACATTATTTGGACCATCAATTTTCAAGGTTTTCATGCATTTATAGATACGCTTGATTTGAACTATTTTTGAAATATGAAATTTTATAATTAGAGATAAAATAGATTTTTGCACTATTCTAAAAATTTCGACACCAAAATTACATCTCATGAGAATGTTCAAGAGAAAACCTTAATTTGATTGTTTAAGGTTGCAACCTAAACCACACCTTTTTTTATATTCTTTATGATACGGAGTTGGTTTTTTTTTATTTATCAATTTGAACATGATATGGGATTTCTATTTGTTTGGGGAATGATTAGCCAGGAAATTTGTGTGCAAGGATGGCCCTGTCGGAATGACTATTAATCTTACACTATCTTTTTGAAATTAGTATACTTAATATCTATCATTTTTTAAATTAGTAAACTTAATATCTATCATTTTGTGAGTTGTTTTGTAAATACCTTATATTACATATAATAGTATTTAAGTATTAAATTTTTTTTTTTTCAGCTTTTCGGCTATTTTTAGTTATTTATTCCCAAAAGTATGCGACATTCAACAAATTCTTTCAAAAACAATAATACGTGTTCTTCTAAAAGATAATTTTACATATAAAACTGCCTATGAGTTCATACTTAGATAATATTATGAGGGACATTGCCAAATAATACATAATTCATTATCATAATTAATTTTATTGAAACAATGACCTATTGGTGATAATGAGTATATACAGCCAAGCCCAGTGGTGCAGGCTAACTATCACAAACCGTTGGATCGATCTTTAGAACTTTGCTGGGGATCGACTTGATAGTTACCAAGTTACATTGCATCTAAATAATAGATAATTGGGTTGTCTGTGTATAATGATTACTGACATTTTCATAACTGAAGACATTTTCATAACTGATTATTCACATTTTATTTTATCTTATGCTATAAAGGTGAATTGAATAACCATTTTCAAGCAGTGATTAGAAAATCTTCGATCCAACTTGAAACCACTTCTTTGCTAAATACACACCCAGAGAATCGGCCCAATTCTCATAATCGGGTTGGTGATTCGAGTTCTGGGAACCACATAATCGGCGCAATTCTCATATTTTTTACTTATCATCACTTCTTTGCTAAATACACACCCAGATCCAACTCGAGAGTCACCCAAGCTGGACAGGTCACATTCTATTGGATCAGGCAAACCAAGGCTTGATTTCATTTTTTGAGACACTGCCTTCCTTTGCGTTCGTTCTATTTTTTTATTTAAAGAAATATGCTCTAATCTAAGTCTACCCCAAACCATATCAAATTCAATCAATTATTTGATATTATCATTCTTCCAACATATTTGCTCAAGGCAAGCAACAGTGTGTTATAGGTAATTAAAAAATCACTAATAGATGGGATTAAAATTCCGCTACCATGATGGTGTCATTTATTTTCCCTTTGATTTTATATTTTTTTTAGGATCAATTGCACAAGTGAATTTGTATAAAAATGGGAGGAGCAAAGGAGGCACAGGAAGAAGAAAAGCACAAGGAAGAGAAAGACAAGAAGGAGGGGAAGGACAAGAAAGAGAAGAAGAAGAAGAAGGAGAAAGATAATGGTGAAGGAGAAGGGACAGGTGAGGGTAAAGAGAAGAAAGTGAAAGAAAAGAAAGACAAGGGAGAGAAGAAAGAGAAGACCAATGATCCTGCCCAAATAAAAATGAAGCTAGAAAAGATAGACACAAAGATGAAAGCTTTGGAAGCACAGAAAGAAGAGATCATGCACATGCTAAAAGAAGCTGAGACTGTTGGAGCTGTGGGGGATAATGGAGGTGCACATAACATTGGAGAAATAAAATGAGAATTTTGAACTTTCTTAAAGGAATAATATATTATAAGTGTTGATTTTTTGTACATGAAAGTCGCAGTTACTCATTATCAGATGTAAAATTTGGAGGCCAGGGGTGAGTCACTTCTCAGCACAAAAGCTTGTGAATCTTTTTCTCAAACTTAGAGTATGGTCGTGGCACATACCAAATTGCCTGGTTTGACATTTGACACCTAGATGTGATTGCGACTTTCTGTACTGAAGCGAAGATAAGCAATCTTATGATGTACTTCATTTCTTAAAAGGTGACAAGGTGTAAACATCAATATTGCTCTTTTTCTTTTTCTTTTTCTTGATCTATCTTTATTTTTTTTCTTTTCCCATAGAGTTCTATTGATTAACAATTTTGTATTCTCCATTGTTGGGGATTATGTCATGATTTGGGTCTTAAATTATTCTAAGATGTTTTTTGAACTCATGTTAAGACTGATTTGATATTTATGGGGACACGTTAAGAGTATGATTGTTAGAATTCAAGAGAGGTGCTCATGTTTAGTGACTCATATCAAGTTTGATATGTTAATTGGAGGGGAGATAAACAGTAGAACTAAATGAGGGATACCAACAAAGAATTGAAGAGCATGCCACAGTTCCTAGCAGAGGGAGTTTGAATAGAACAAGAAACTCAATAGAAAACATATTCCAACAAACTCAAGGAAGAGAAAATTGAGCCTATGGCCATTCGACATAAAATTGGAACATGGGATTTACATATTTCATTTTTCCCCATAATCTCAGCTCACAAGGATCAAAGACCTGCATTCCAGGACCACACAAACTAGTTAGACATGAAATGCATCATACTAGTAACTAAAAAATCATAGACTTGGACTCGGATTCACTCGAGTCACTCAGGCCCCTCACAGTGTGGGGTCTAGGTGACAAAACCGCCCTAAAAATCGGGCAACACTAACACCATTGCTAAAATTCTTTGCACTTATAATTTGAGACACCAGAGTTGGGCGGGTCTAGCTTGGAAGAATGGGCTTTTGACTCCCACTCAGGACCATTGCAAGAAAGCCCAAACCCGAGTTTTTAAACACCGCATCCAAAATGAACTCATTATCAGATTCTCTCATTGATTATTCGGTGGTTACTAAATTTTAGATAAAAAAATCCTCCAATTAGGTTCTACCTGTGAGAGTAAGTGCACAAAACACTCCTTCAGGAACACAATAAAAATTATGAGGCTCTACAATTCAATGCATTAAAGAATGAAAACATGTAATAGACCGACTTATGAGATACAACTTCATCCAAGATTTCGGTATTGAATTAGTCACCTGACAACAACTTTGTGCAAACAATATAAAATCAAGGAAATAACTCTAATGATATATATAGTTGCTCCCCGGAAAGATCAGTCGGAATAAAATGTACATTTACTTCCATGGGCAAAACCCTACCCGGGAGTATATTTTAGACCAAAAAAATTGGGGCATAATCTGCCAATCTATAGACCAACATAAGCAAAAAATAAAATAAAATAAAAGAAAGAAGAAAAGTTGAAGACAAAAGAAAGAAGAAAAGTAGAAGACACCTATTAAAACTACATGAAAAATTTCACAAAATATTACTGGTTTGAAAAATGAAAAGATTTACCCATTCTTTTGGTTTAAGTGGAAAATGTTTATATAAGGGCGAGGCCCTAAACAATCAAATTAAGGTGTATGTAAAAAATTCACTAGAAGAAGTTATTTCGATGTCGAAATATCCTCAAATCGATCATCTCGACCTTAAGATGTCTGGTTATGAGAAAAAAAAAGATTTGAAGTTTTGGAATAGTGCATCTTGTAATGCATTTTTTGGACCGTTAATTTCAATAGTTTCAAGTGTTCATAGATCTGCTCGCTCTACACTATGTTTAAGCTTTAAATTTTATAATTGGAGATGAAATAAATTTTCAAGCTATCCCAAAGATTTCCAGTACAAACAACATATTTCGACACCATTTAAAGGTGCGCTTTGCTTTGATTGTTTAGGGTCTCAGCCTTATACAAACCACACTTTTTAGAAATCACTCACCAAGTGATTCTACGATAATTCCCGAAATTTTAAGATCATTCCGAATTTTCATATCAAACAAATCCCTAATTCCCTAAATTTTAAGATCATTCCGAAATTTTATATCAAACAAATCCTTCGAACCAGCCATTTGCATGGGGAATCAAGTGTACAATTTGCTCCCAAGGGAGTATCTAGTTAGAATGTGCACATATGGATCAGAAAGACAACATAAATACCTTGATTCACTCCAGCACATGCAAAAATTTGCTTCCTCTTGCTTTAATTTTTCCTGATTGAGGAGGTTGAGGTGAAGAAAATAATGTAAAGGAATGAAGCCTGATCCGAGATCAATGGGAGAAGCTCAATAGCATGGAAACAAGGGGAACAAGGTGCGGGACCATGATCTTGGATCAACCTTCATTCCTTGCATTGATTTCTTCTGTGTGTCAAAGATCTAGCTCTGTAAAAAAAATCAGTAAAAGCACATACTGAAGGGAGTAGGTGGGAGGCATGGCTTGCTAAGAGCTTGCTGCATTGGCCAGATATTTTGTTTGTCTCACTTTGAAAGGCACATATTTTGCTCTCCATTTATAAGAAGGATGGGTTTCGGTGGGGCCGCATTTCTATAAAGTACACCTTTATTTGACAAGCTTACATAATAATGAAACTTGAAACATAGTGCTACGAAAACCCAACTATTAGCACGTTGACCCAAGCCCTATTCCTAATTCGCACAGCCAGACCTCAAAACCCATTGGAAAAACCAGATATGGGGCTTGAGAAATTTTATGATGGCTTGCAAATCTATTTTCACCCCTAAACGTAGAATATGAAGCTCCAAAACTTGATCCAGATCTGGTAGATTTGTGAAAACCTGAAATGGATAGTTTAGAAAAGAGTATTGCGTGATGGACTGACCTTGGAATATGAAGCTCCAAGAGTTGGTGTAGATCTGGGGGATTTGTGAAGGCTTGAAAAGAAAAGTTTAGAAAAGAGTATTGCAAGATGGACAATTTCAAAGCTTTCAAATCCATTTCTTTTAGATCCATGATATTTTAGATAAGGTGGACGATTTTTAGGTTTCTTGACTCTGTAATTGCCCATTTCGATGAGATTTGTGGCCGCGGCTCTACCAAATATATTTCCTTATAAGAAACCCTCCTAGTGTCCTTAAAGAGAACCAAATACATACCATAAATAGTTAATAGATTATGTACTTTTCACAGTTGAGAGATAGAAAAAGTTTCAAAGTTCATGTATTAGGTAGAAAACCTGTACATTTGCACATGGGGGATACGAGATCCAATGAAGGTTGCTATTAAGTGGAGCCCAATAGCGTTTTCATTTTTCATTTGATGAAAATGGACGGTCTCGATTAAAAGGACAATTGCATAACAAACTCAAAATCAATTAACTTCATTCACTATTTATTTTGCTACATGGAATTCAAGGATAAAAAATGTCTAAGTTGGAATGAACCCATCTCATGGATTTTTGAGAGATCCTTTTCTAGAATAAGTAGAAACCCACCCAAATATCCTCTACCACTAATTTTAGAGTTCCTATAAGTTGCATAGTGCACTGTTTGTGTGTTTTGTGACATAGGCTTTCATGGACCTTAGCCCTAGTGACTAATCCACATTGGTAGGTAATGGGCCATCGCGGAAAACAAATGGACTAAAATGCTATCATTATGAGGCTCATTATGCCAAGAAGAAATTTAGGACAAATCCACAAATGCATGCATATATGTATGAATGTGTGGATTCATGCCCAAAGAAGAATGCAAGCACCATAAGCACATGCATGCTACATGTAAACGCGCATCCACTACACTCCCCCCACTCACTCTCTCTCTCTCTCTCTCTCTCTCTATATATATATATATATATATATATATATATATATATAGTAGTAGCGTAGTGTTACGTAGTACGTACGTACGTACGTTAGTTAACGTTAGTTAAGTAAGTACGTAACGTAACGTAACCTAACTAAA